TTACTGAATTCTAATAAAGCTTTATTATGTTAATACTTACAAATAGCAAACATGGAATATTAGTTAGAGTAAAATTGAGCTTTCAAAAAAACAATTTCCTTTTTAGTTCCTGAAAATAAGCAGTTCGGTTTAAAAGCAGAAATCTTATGTTCTGATTATTATGCTCTGGCTTAATTTTGTGACTTTTTATTTTTGTATGCACCTAGTAGTTTTTAAAGTTTAGCTGGATGATGTTGCCCTGCTGTTAAGAGGTTGTACATACTTATCCATATGCTATAATCCCCATATTTATTAATGGACATTATTTATTACATCTTGTCTTAGAAAGTGCTATATATCATATTAACTTACATTGTAGTTATGAGACTACTGTATTACTGGTGACATTCATACAGCTGTATTCAAAAATAACCTAACTTCATAGGTAGCTGTTAAGCAAGTAGTAAATGGCATTACATTTGTCTGTTGCCTGTAACAGCGGTGTTTGTCATCCCTTTGGTTTTACAAATTCTTTCAGACCGACAATTTAATGAAGCATTTAAAGATTAAAGCTGCCTCCTCTGTTGATGGTCACAAAACTCTTTGGCCATTTAAATGGTATTAGCAAGTTGTAAACTTCTGAATGATCGCTGTAGCTGTGGAATTCAGGATCAGTATGTTAAAAAAAGGTTGGGAAACCTGGTATTTTTCACTGACATCTGCTAAGCTTTCAAAACAACAAGGCCGAGGTAAGGAAGGGCTGTGAGCCACAACGTAAATTTCTGCTGCATTGTGTTTCCAGAGCATACTTCCAGTATTGAACTGAAAGCAGTCGTGGGGTTATGTTCTGCGGTGGCTCATGCACTGATGCATATAAATGAACTAAAGCCTGTACTGTGAAATCGATGCTTATAGACTTTGTCCTGTAGAGTCAGGCATTCGTTGCCCCACATCAAAAGGTTTTATTAATTTTAAAGAGAATGGACATCTTGTGTCCTCTTCTTGGGCTTTTTCTTCAATAATAAAACACTAAGGAAATTACTTCTTTTCATTTTCCCTAAGACAGTCATTCCTGTTCTGTTGTGCAGGGATTTCATATATTGTCTGGGGTTGGTTACCTTTATAAAAATGCTACATTTTCTAAGTTCTGTGACACAGTTTAACTCTTTTAATATAAATTACTCTGAATGTGTGCCTCTCATTGACAAGCAAGTACTATTATCTGCTATGTCTTGCTCCTTATTTAACTACTAAGATCTGCAGGAACAGAGCTATTAATTAGATCAAAGTAAAACAGTCTTGCTTTAATATGGTTAAAATTTCCCTTTCTCCTAGGCACGGCTTTTAATTTTTTGGCCTTGCAGCAAGCTTCTCTAATAATAAATGTCCTTTCATTATCAGTGATTTTCTTCTAACCTCTGTCTTTTATGTGATTTTTGCCCTTCTGTTGTTTCCATCCAGAAACATCAGTAGATCTTTGGTTCTCCACATGTATTATCAAGCTTTGATTTGAGGTAGAGGCAAAAAGGCATACAAAAAGGAGCTGTGCTGGGTATGCAGAGATGCTTGTTGGGGGTGGGTGGTGTTGGAGAGCTTGAAACTGTGTTTACCTGCACTGCAGCTAGTATCTGGGATATTGTGGTATTACTTGATGAATCTTTGAGTTGCCAGCAAATAAAATCATCTGGTTTGGGTTGATAAATAAAACCTGTTTACTTCGTGAGAAAGCTTGTGGCTGTGCCAGAGTTAATAAAAAGTTGAGATGAACTTTGCTGGCTATGTTCAAAGGCGCTCTCCTTCCAAAAACAGCTTTCCATCAGACACTGCTGGAATATTGGAAGTCTCCTTGCCATCAGTGAGTCATACGCGTTATAATCTGCGATCGGTGTCCCTGCATGGGAGCCAAATGTTCAGAGGTACCTTAGGGTCTTTGGTCCCAGCTGTCCTTTCGTGCTTTTATGTGGTCTCGTCCTGCGGGAGGAGGGAAGGGTGAAATACTGGGAATCACCTCAGAGGTTTCTAGTCTTTCACAATAGAGAATATTTTCACTGGTAAGTCATGCTTTATTGAGATCTGCTCAAAGAAGTCCTTGGGTTCAAAGGAAGCTCAAGAGGATGAGAGTCCCTACTGACAAACTCTGTAAGAAAGAGCTTTTAGTAACATTTCTTTTTGTCCTTTTTGCTTCTAATTATGCCCTTTCCCTGTGTCTACTCATCACACAGTTTGCCATGACTGCAAGTAATAATGATGGCTAAAGGTCGTTGCTGCCTTTCTTCAAAATGCAAGGTACCCCAGTACCAGCTCTTGTTTTCCTGATGACATGTGCTTGCAAATAAAGCTTGCTGCTTGCTGAAGGAAGGGTCTTTAGAATTCTATCACTTCTTTGTACCACTCTTTGAATGGCTGAGAAAATAGACTGTAAAAGAAAGTAGATTTGCACAAGGTAACTCCTGTAAAAGTGTTATAATGGCCAGCTTCCTTCAGGACTTGTACGTTTTTGTCATCTACTCAGTGATTGATTGCACAAGAGTTACCTCATGTTAGAGACAGTCTTACAGCAATGTTTCTTGTGCAGTGATGCAGAGCTAGCAGACTATCCATCTTGGATGGGCCAGGACTTTAAAACATCTTGTCTTATTAATTAACTCCAGGTCTGGGCATTAAGATCCAGAAAGAATGCAAGATTTCAGAAGGAACTATGATCAAAATAGATGTGTTCCTAAAGGAGTGTAACTAAATGGCCAGAATAGCTTAGTGTTAAGAGGAAAACCACCCTGTTTAGGTGTTTGTTTTTCCTCCCTCGTTCTATCTAAATTGTCTCAGCAAAGAGATTCATACTTTTGTTAGTGAAATAATAAAAATTAAGGGAAAAAAAGTTGTTATAGTTTGATTTTTCAGTCCTTTGTAATATTCATGTTTATCAGCGTTTCTTAAGTGGGAGTTTACTGTCTGATCTTCATTGTGATAGTTTTGTCACCTATTCAAACACAAGGGTTTGGAAATAGTTTTCTACCCTTAATCATTTAGAGCAAGATTTTCAAAGGAACCATCGTAGGACAATTGAGATTTGAGTACTTGGACTCTGAGACAAATCTGAGAAATAATGGTCTCCTCCTTGTTTGATAACAATATACAGCGCTTTATGGCATAGGGGAATGATTTTTAGGAGGCTTTTTTGTTGCATGTTTGTGTGCCACCACAGCAAATCCATGTCATCTGTGGTTTTGACAGTTAAAATATTAAACTAGTGTTGTTTTGAAATTGCAGTAATTGTTCATATTGTTTCCGTACAGCACATGCAGCAGTTGTGAATTGCTGACTTAAAGCTGTATTACATATAAAGGTCTACAGCAGAAGAGATTTATAGTTTTTATTGAAGTTTTGCTTTTCTTGCAGAGGTATTTCTCTTTTTTGTGTGTGTTTCTTAATACTTAAGAGGTTTTTATTTATTTAATTTATTTTATTATGGGAACTGCCATACAGCCAAGGAGAGAGTCATGTCCTGAAGTAATCCACTTCATCTGTGGAAAGCCATTGTACAAAGCTAAGCAAATGAACACATCCTCAAAAAAGGAGCACCAACTCCAGACAATTCAAACATCGACAGTTAAATAGCAACAAAGTAAATGCAGAAGGATGGAGGGGAAGACTGTCTACCTAAACTCAGTAAATTGAAACCAAATAGAACATTTCCTGTGGAGGTTTTCTACAAACAGTATCTGTGTCTCTGTATCTGTGTTCTGGGGATCAGAAAAGCAAATTAAACTTCCTTCCTTGGAGCTGAAACAGACTATGAGTTCCCTTTTCAAACAGACAGAATATACGTTGGTGGAATGGTAGCAGAGGGTCATTTGAAGAGTCCAGAAAGAAGGTGCTTTGGGGAGTAGGGGTAAAATACATTTTAAGACTCATTAACGGCAGTTTTTAGTAAGAAAAAAAGTTGCTAAAGAGTCACACATTGAGGTGTGTAAACAATTGACCACTACCTAGATATATATTCTTCAGTAGGGACTTCCAAATTGTAAGAGATCGGTGCATGAGTGTGTGACGAAACTCTGCTACGGAGATTGCCCCTCAGTCATTTGTATGGGTTAATTTTTCTTTTTAAAAGAATGAGATATTTGAGATTATAGAGTTAAAATGTATCTTGTATTTATCGTGCAAGATAAATGAGGAAAGGGTTCTGAGCTTTTAAAGAAACTTCAAGGTTATTGTTAATTTAAATTTGTTCTAAATATGCTTTAACAATGTGTAAGTACATAATAATTTTCTCATTCCAAGCACCTTTTTGGATTGACTACTAAAGAGCTACTCATAGTAACTGGCTTTATAACACCAATGTGATATGTTCAAAGAGATGGATCATACAGTGCTCCTTTTATTAAAACTAATTCCCAGTAAGATGGATCATTAGGTTGTGTAGCTTTGTTATGACTGTGGCTTCTTGTGAAGATGAGAGGTGTTTACAAGGCTGTTTTTACAAGGGCATATAGGGATGGGGCAGGGGGGAATGGCTTTAAACTGACGGGAGATTTAGATTAGATATTAAGAGGAAATCCTTCCCTGAGAGGATGGTGAGGCACTGGCACAGGGTGCCCAGAGAAGCTGTGGCTCCTCAATCCCTGGCGGTGTTCAAGGCCAGGTTGGACACAGGGGCTTGGAGCAAGCTGCTCTAGTGGAAGGTGTCCCTGCCCATGGCAGGGGGTTGGAACTGGGGGAGCTTTAACGTCCTTTCCGACCCAGATCATTCTGTCATTCTATGTATTGCCTTTCCTGCTGATTTGTATTTGCATAGGTTAGTTCTGTAGCATTTTTAACTGTATATAAACTATTTCTCAAAAAATGTAAATTGGATTGGATAATGGTTAATCCATTATATGAGAATCTGTTTAATGAAGTCAGTGCATGTCCTAATGTAATTTTTTTAATAGTGTCAGTTGTGTAATTTTATTTAAACAATTGTTAGTAACCATGAATCCCTGCAGAGAACTTAGTCAACGTAACAACTTCTTTCTCTCTAGGCAGAACTAGTGAAAGGGACTCTGCAAAGTATTGGACTTACGCTCCGCTTTGTGCAGTCCAAGGATGATGATACAGGGCACGTCGTCATCGAAACTGTGACTCCAAACTCACCTGCTGCAGCTGCTGATCTACAGAGGGGAGACAGACTTCTAGCCATTGGCAGTGAGTAATGTCAGCTTTCAAAATAAGGGTTGTCTTGTAAACTGGGAGGACGTGTCTGCATACAGTTCAGTGAGACTGCCTTTCTGAACAGTTACAGTTATGCCTGGCACTCATAACAGTTATGGCCACTTAAGGTTGTCGTTCATTTGATTTATTTTCTTCCATATTTACTCTTTACTACGTGAAAGTCAGAATAAAGCTGAATAAACATACCTTAACTGTTCTAATAGAGATGCTTTAGGGTTCTCTACTTACTTTCTTCTGGTGATGTTATAAAATGTGCTTAGCTAAAAACAAAACCATGAGGTTTTACATCCTAGGCCTGCATGCTCAGCTTGAACCTAAAGCTGCATGAACCTAAAGGTAGTAGAGTATGGAACAGATAGTACAGACACATTTTTGACTAGCAGAGTAATTTCTGAAATTATCAAAATTACCCAAGCAGATCTGCTGAGGTTTTGATAGTATTTTTATACTTTCAGTATACTTTTAGTATCAATTTTTGGACATGCAGAAGCCTAAGCAGTATTTAGAAATCTACTCTGAAGACTTTGGCCAAATTGTAAATTGCAGATAAGTGCTGCATTGAGGCAAAAAGTTAGTTTAGCAGGAGAGTGCACTGTGGGTGGTTGGGGTTTTGTTGGGTTTGGGGGGTTTTATTATTTTTTAAAGAAAGATTCTGTTGATATCCCTGGGCATTATGAAGTAGATTGATACTATTTTATATTTTACAATTTCAAGTTAGACCATCTCCAGATATTGCTTGAATACGGACCATGTCACCAACAGAGAACTAGATCATAGTCGTAAATCATAATCAAAACTACATACTGGCAGTGTTACTGCTTTAAACTTGAGAATTAGAGGGGCCCTGCAGAAAATGGCAGTGGGCTGCAGGACAAGTAAACCATTAACAAGAACAATGGCTAATCCACTTAGCGGAAGGAGCAGATAGAAACCCTGTTTATGATCGTTAAGAATAATGCCGTGTTTTCTACTGGATGTTGTGGGACTAAATAAAAGGTTATGGTCATTGGCAGAGAAAGAAATGCAAAACAAACTGTAATGGTGAGTTATATATAGTATCCCAGATATTTCAAGGCCAGGTTGGGCAGAGCCTTGGGCAGCATGGTCTTGTGTGTGGTGTCCCTGTCCATGGCAAGGGGGGTTGGAACAAGATGACCTTAAGGTCCTTTCCAACCTTAACCAGTCTATGATCCCAGATATCTCTGCATGTGACAGCAGACAAATTTATTCTCCAGACATCAACTGTATAAATCAGAGGTGAAGTAATTTTATATTTGGTTCTGCAAAGGCATTAAGATACTATAGAAGAGTTAGTGTGAAGATAGATGAAGACAGAACTTCATACACTTATGATATGAACTACTTTAAACTCCCTGCTAGCACAGTTGCATTATTTTTTCATATTATTTTTTATGTGAGAGGTGTTATAGACCAGAGCTTAAGCACTACGATGAGTTATTCTGATTAGATACTGCCTAAATCCCCATTGCATTGCTCCAGTGATTTAAAATGGCTTTGAGTTGCTTCAAACAGGCAGTTGATAATTGTTCTAGAACAAGGGAAAAGTAATTTTTACATGACCCCCTGCATGACTTTATTTGCATTGTCTGCTCAGTAAGAAATCTCAGCTTGCATGTACTTTCCTGAATCTTACCAAGGGCTGGAGATACTGTCAAATGGCTCTGGGAGTTCTCATGAGGTAGATGATTCAGTTCACTGTTCTGCATTACTGCAAAAGTAACATCATGCCTATATTGTGTTAACATATCAGAATGATTTTCTTTGTTAGCCTGCTTCTGTTGTAATTGAAACTGTATTTAAAGATACTCATCTCTTTTGAATCCTTCATGGATTTCAGCCTGCTGCTGAGAAGTGCAAACTTACAGTAAGATCAAGGTGAAAAATATTAGCACATAAAAGCAAAATTACTCTAAGATCACAACATTAATGACAAACAGCAAACTGGAGTATTTATATCTTTTCCAGTTCCTGAAGTAATATATTTCTATGAATAACATGGAAAGGATCAACCTATTACATTTCAGTTGAGCTCTTCTGTCGTAATTGACTTCTGTTGTTGAGCAACACATTTATTACCACTGTTAAAGATCGAAACGTTTATCAGCTATTTTTGGCCATTTAAACTGTTATCATAATTAAAATTTAACAATTTTTGTCTTTTTTTTTTAATAGGTGTTAAAATCACATCAACTGTCCAAGTGTTGAAGCTCATTAGACAGGCGGGGGATAGAGTTTTAATTTTTTATGAAAGGCCTGTTGGGTGTAATCAGCATGGTTCAGCACTGCAGGATGGATTTGGTCAACTGGAAGACGCTGCTTTCTTGACACAGACGGAAGATGACCAAGCTAGTATATCAGTTGATGTTGATAACAGAGATTTTGATTCAGAATTTGAGGACTTAGCTTGTGAATCACCTGAGCAAAAAGAAGATCTGCCAACAACTCTGAGTCCCAAACGTTCAGTAGTAGTACTTGCTACGAAAACCCATGGAACTATATCTCCGATTCTGAATCGAAAGCTGTATTTAGGAAGTCAGACAACATCAAAAACACAACAAAAAGATGGAAATAAATTGGCAGTACCCAAAATTATTGAGGGTTCAGATACATCACAGCAATCAGGAAAACAATCGCAAGGATCTGGTACCAAGCCTCCTGTGCCACCAAGGCCACAAAGTAAGCCTGTTGTATCTACTAGTGAAAGTCCAAATTTGTTAGAACCTGGAGGCGTATCTTCTGAAAAACCAGAGAAGCCACCTCCACCTACAAATAATGGAGATAAATGTGCAGAGAAGGTAGTAAAGAATAATGATCAAATAGAAGACCCAGCAATATCAAAAGTAATAACGACACCAAAACAAGATGCATTAAAAGATGGACTTTCAGAAAATTCGCGTAGCTGCAAAGATAGTGGAGATGATCGTCAAACATGGGAATCACCAGAAATTCCTTATAAAATCCGACAAGGCCGATGGCCAAAGACGAGAGCATCCACCTGTCTGTTTGAAGTAGAAGGATACCATAGGTACCTTAATATTGCACTGTGGTGCAGAGACCCTTTCAAAGCAGGTGGTTTTATCTGCTTAGGATATGCAAGCATAAGACTTGAAGAAATTGCTTTAGATTGTCTAGCTACATCCTCAATGGAGTATATTAGAACATTTAAACTGAATGCTCCTGCGCCTAAAGCTACAGTCACTAGAACAGCGTTGCGGAATTTGACAAACCATAAGGGATTCAATGAAAAATTTTGTTATGGCGATATAACTTTACAATTCAAATATTTAATAGAAGGTGAAATAGATGATTCAAACATTCTCCTGGAGAAAGAAAATGAATGTCAAATGGAAGAAGAAGCTCGTGCGTGTCAGAAGGAGGATCCTTACTTGGGACAAATTGTTTTTACGGAGAGCAAACATAACTTTCAGGATACTCAGTTTCAGAATCCAACTTGGTGTGATTACTGCAAAAAGAAAGTGTGGACTAAAGCAGCTTCACAGTGCATGCTCTGTGCTTACGTTTGCCATAAAAAATGTCTAGAAAAATGTCTAACTGAGACACCCTTCTGTGTAGCAGCTGACAAGCGACTTGATCAAACTGCGGGAGTTTGTAGAGCAGAAGGACAGGAAACTTCCCAAGCTGCATCTTCTCGTGTTGATGCAGAATCTAAATCTGTTAACAGAACTACAGGTTTGACCAGGCATATCATCAATACAAGCACCCGCTTCTTAAACCTTCGGCAAGTCCCCAAGGCTCGCCTTTCTGAGCAAGGAGCAGAGGTGGTAGAACCTTCGCCAAAGCACACACCAACCACTTCTGATAATGAAAGTAGTGATACTGAAATCAGTGGACCAAGCAGTCCTTCAAAACGTGCATCAAGTACTGGGATAAAATTGGTCCGAAAGGAGGGTGGTCTAGATGACAGCGTCTTCATTGCTGTTAAAGAAATTGGACGTGATCTGTATAGAAGTTTACCCACAGAGGAGCGTTCCCAGAAACTAGAATTTATGTTGGATAAGCTGCAGAATGAAATAGACCAGGAGCTGGAAAATAACAACTCCCTTGTTAAAGAAGAAAAAGAGACAACGGATGCAAGGAAAAAAGCCCTGATTTCTGCTGCACTGGCTAAGTCAGGTGAAAGACTGCAGGCCCTGACACTGCTGATGATCCACTACAGAGCAGGCATTGAGGATATAGAGTTTTTGGAGAGCATGTCCTTAGACCGGCAGTCCAAAGCCGTGACTAAAGATTCAGAGGAGCCCAGTGTAGCAGAAGAAATGGATAATGAAGATGTCAGTCTGATGGAGGCCCCAACAATCAACATTATATCAGAAGAATCAGTTGATCCGCCTGAATCAGTAGACTGATATTTGCATATTTATCCTGAGAAGGAATGGACTAAAAGAATACTTTGCACTTCATTTACAAACACACACAAAGGAAATGAAAACACTGGTATGATGTACGTGTCCTGCTTCTCCACAGTTACTTGCCTGTGTAAGAGTACAGCTAATAATGGGTCTTCTCCAGCTACAGCACCATCATTTTTATTACACTGGCTGGGTACAATTACATTGTGGGGTTTCTATTGGAAATTTATTTTTAATAACTTATTTTTATTTTTTCTAATTACGTAACCTTACCATTTCACATGAAGGTGTATGGTGTCCTTAATGGATTACTTGCCCTGTCTACCCTCCCACCCTCCCCCCTTTTTGTTTTGAGCCAGTGTTTTCAGCAGGAAACTGGCAGGATTTTCAATACGTTGAGTTTCCCTTGTATGATTCAAAAATACAAGCTTGTTGCATGCCTAAGCTGATGACTAGCACAGAAGTCACTGAGGGACCAGGCTTTAAAATGTTGATCACAGTTTTATTGTATGTCTGTCTACTAAAGAGTTGTGTATTTTTTTTTGCCAAACATGTCATGAAAGCAAACAAAGGGTCTTTCATTTTATCTGTTATTAGTGTTTACTGATGTTACTGTTGCATATCGTTTGTTTTCCATATTTTTGTTAAACACAAGAACTTTTCATAGTTTTTAATTAATATGAAATACAGTAATGCTAATCCTCCTTAGAACTTTGGGCTATTGTATCCTGATTGTACTGCTAGATATCAAAGTACATACCAGTATCTCGGAATAATTTAATTGGGAATATCTTTGAGATAAGAGGCTGGTTTGGTTGCCTTGCAGAACAAAATTACGTGTTTAAGTAGCGTTGTACTGTCAGATAAGCTGCTAAAGGAAAACTGTTCTTGACAAGAGTTGGAGGTTTCATAGCATTCTATGAAAAAGAATGTGATGACAGTTTAAGTGATTTAAAACCAAAATATTTTGCTGCAGACTATCATTTTTGGGAAGCTTAAGGTACAAAATACTTCACAAAATAGCTAAAGATGTTCTCTCAACACTTTTGAGTATCGTCATAGTGGTCATTGGCATTCAGCTTCTCAGACAGAAGAGACAGTCTGAGCAGAAGGATGACCTTTGTCAGAAAAATGTCTTATAGTGTATATAATGTTTTATTTGAGTCCAAATACGTGCGTCCAGTAGAGATGACAACAAATGTCAGTCAGCTGCTTTTGAAAAGATCTATCTGGTCTTGTGCTATGTGTAAACTGTGGATCTTAGCATCTTAGCTAAGGCCATTGTTCTTATTTATTTCCTGTCTTTGTTTCATCTTCTGTGTATAGAAATGCAGTGTGAAATATCATCTTTATTTTAGGTACCGTGTTAGGAACTGGTATCGTTATCACTGGTACCATGGTGGTAAGAAAGAAAAAATGCCTATGTGGAAATGGTGTTAAATCTACGATGGTAAAATAACTCATTTAAATTTTCAGGCAGTCTGTAATGTTCCTCTCCGTTAAATTTGCTTCTCAGTTTATTTTCTGATGGGCAAAACTAAGAAGCAATGGTTTTTACTGATGGCAAAGCATACTTGGACTTCTAAACAAAATTGTTACTTCCACTCATGCAACTACTTGCACTTCTTTGTGAGTTCTGGGCAGTTGATACTTACTTAATTGATGTATGGAAAACACTACCCATGCTAAAACAGGCATGTGACACACTTCTGGAATTAAGCTTCAGCAAATAATCGCACAAAATTAGCTTCCCTTATTGACTAAAAGTTATTTAACCTATACTTGCTTGAGATGCATATTAAGACTTCCCCACTCAGTTTTCTCGGCGGCTTACGATTGGTGCTGATGTGCATTTAATCTCCATCAGTGTTTGCTCTTATGGACTACTATAGAGCTTTTCAAATATATATCCAAGTACTTCATTTAAACCCTGGTACACACGAAGGAGCTGTGAAAACAATGCAAATGCCGATTTCAAAAACACATCTGTGGGTTTAGATTGACTTGTGTAATGCAGTGGGTAAGAAAAGCTGGATGTAGTTTTCCTCTTATAGTACTGCTAATGATGATTGTAAGAGAGAAATTAAACGTAGTGCAATATTTTTAAATATGCCGAATGGGAAAAGGGCAAAATAGTTGTATTTTAGTGATAAGAAGGAAAACATACAATTCCTATCTGGCATTAATTACAATATACGGTGAATCTCAAGGGGAAAATTGTAATACTACATTCCTGATGTAATCCTTGCTTCATGCTTGACTGTAAATAGCTGAAAATAAAGAATACCACGGAAAACAAGAATATCTTGACTTAATGATATCTGAATAGGTGGCAGCTACACACATTTGCAGAAGATCTGCCTAATACGATTTTGTTGGCTATTATTTTATCATGAGAATAAGCTTTAATAAAATAGTTTTGCTAAATTATCAACTACTTTGCATTGTGTTAATATTTTTGGTTAAATACTGGTATCGCAGTAGTTTATCACCTAAAGCCACTACTTAAAGGAAAGCTCACATTTTGCAGTAAATAGAACTGCTGATATGTGGATTAATTGGGCTTTTATGCATTCTTTCTATATGAATACACGTTTATTTTTGTTTTACAGAGTTTAATACTAGGTTTCTTTCAAAATAGTGATTCCAGTTGATTCATTGTGGAGCTAGAGGATCTTATAAAATGCTAGGGTTATTGGGGGATTTCTAAGACCTCCAAGCACTGCACAGATAACGCAGTACTGGTGGTAGTGACTACAGCTAGAGTTACATTGCATGGGGGGAAACTGTCGAAGAAAATTTCTTCTGCCTTGCCCTGTCCTTCAGAAATGTTAATAGATAGATAATAACTTGTGAGTTTTAGCAGTAAATTGGTTAATCAGCTGGGAAAGAAATTAAGATGTTATATGATAATTTAGAATTCTAACTTGCTATATTAGTTTCAGATTTAATGGATTAACAACTTTATCTTGACCAAAAGAGTTTAGTAAAATAACTTCTCTTGGGCCAAAGTATCACAGAATCATAGAGTAGTTTGGGCTGGAAGGTACCTTGAAGATCATCCTGTATCAAAATGATCTACGTTAAAATCTGAACCTAAATACTCCTCTATCTGCACAATTGTTACTTACTCAGTGGAGGTGAAGTATTCAGTATAGGACAGTCTTAGTTTGCGCTGTATTAATGTCTGTCTCCAAGCACCTCTCAGCCTTGAAGGAAGGATTTCCATCTGTTATATATTCAAAGGAATGCAGTTGAAAATATACCTCTACAACAAGCTCTAAGTGGGTTTATCAAATCAACATAGAACGTAATGCTTGGCCTTTCATGCTGTTTAAGCCTGTTAATGTTAATTTCTCAGAATCTTCACCCTTATTTAAAGAACACAGCCGGGTATTCCCTCCACTACAGATTTTGGGCTTACCTGTTTCCTAAAGTCACATCTCAGCCCAGCAGCCACATGACAGATTGATTTTTGGAAGCTGTTGTGGTTACTTAAACAAGTTGCATCTATTTATGACCTGGAGTGAAAATACTTGTCCTGAGTTACAAATGGACTAGATCTGAAATATTTGTCAGCTTTTCCCCCATCCCAGTATACAGTCAAACACAATGCATAAGGCAAATCATGAGGGGAATTCTTCCTTTGTTTAATTGTTTCTACTTTATTACAGTAGATCAGGAGCTTCTTTCAGATAACTTTATTTTAATGCAGTCTGCATGTGTAATTATTGACAAAGCAATACTTGAAGTTTGATCCACTATGTTTTGTATTTTCTGACCATGAATAGTATATGTGCTTTACAAAACTATATGTAAACATAGTATCTATGCTGTAGTACATAAACCATCTGCAATTACGTGAAAGAAGGCACATAAAGATTTTAGTTTTGCAAATGAAAAGATACACCACAGTTGATAAGGACATTGGACTGGTTTAAGATGCTTTCTTTCGAAGTCTGGTTCTTCTCAGAACTGCCTGACACAGTTCTTCGCCTGTATTAGACTGTCCCCAAACGGTAAGAGATACTGGCAACAAACTGGTCATTTCTTTTTAGCAAAGTTGATATTTAAATTCATTTTAGAACATAAATATATATTGAATTTCCAGATGTATATGCAAATGCATGTAAAATAGGTCTTTTTTTTGAAATTCTTAAGTTACAAGCCTACTCTTGGTACATACTAAAACTAAACAGTGTGATGCTGCAGCTTTTCTTGACCAGTCACCTAAGATGTGCCTAAACTAAAGTTGCGATATGTTCAAAGTAAAGCTTTCAAAAGAGAGAAATACAAAAAGTGTCTTCATGCTGTTCTTATTCCCTTTAAGGGAAAGGAACAGTGCACATTCATACCTCCTTGTTCACCCGGTGGTGTGTGGTTTGAGGGCTTTGTATTGCATGACTGGTTAACTAATTCTTCATTCAATAGTACTGACTGATAGCAGTACACTCACCTGTTTAAAGTACTGGTTTCCTTAACATTCCATGAATGGTTAGGGGAGAGCTCATTTAAATTGGCAAAGAAGTGTCTTTTTGGTTATATATATGTTATGACCTAAAATTGATGAAAAAAACAATCACGATGTCCACACTCTGGATTCCAGCCTTCACCCCTCACTGTAATTACAAGGGTATGATTTAAAAGGGTACAAAGGATGGGTTTTCTTTGAGCTTTGCTTTTTTTTTCCTGCCTTTCCAGTCAATAAGAAAGACCGGAGCTCCCAACAGTAGCTTATGACTCCAAATAAAATATGAAATGTTGACATGAGTTGACTTTAAAAACCAGCTAAAATTCACATTTATACAGATCTATACTACACAATTAATAAAAATATAATATACTATTCAATAAAATTAAATAAAATAAAGATTAACACTATACAAATCCTCTATAAAAAGCGTGTTCCCCCCCCATAAGGCAGTTAGCAGTCTGCTTTACAACCATGGGCGATGAATAATACACCTTTGGTTTTTTTGACCATTTCATTATTAAATGGACAGTACAACTAAAACCTATTTCTGGATGAGATGTTTCACATGAAACACTGCATTTTGTACACCAAAATATGTTATATGGCTTTTCATGTTATTCATCACTTTCATATTCTTCTTCTTCATCACCTATGGGGTAGGACTGGATGTTGTTCTGTGTGTACATTTTTGTTTTCACAGGACAGTTGTGATCCATTAGTATGGCCTAAAAGAAAACAAGAGTGGGAATATTAGCATTTCTGTGTAGCGCCCAGCTGAGGGCTGCAGTTGACCCCACTGGGATTCACTGAAAGCAGAGCCCAAACTGATTTCGGTTTGAATAAATCAAGACCTTAGGTTGGTGTGAGGTGGGATCTTGGTCCTAAAGACCTTATGAGCAAATTTCTGTTTCTGCCCATGTATTAAATAGAAATACATCTACCTGCTCTCCACTTACAGTAATTTACCTCTTCTATCATAGAATCACAGTTCAGGTTGGAAGGGACCGTAAGCTCATCCAGTTCCAACCCCCTGCCACGGGCAGGGACACCTTCCACTAGAGCAGCTTGCTCCAAGCCCCTGTGTCCAACCTGGCCTTGAACACTGCCAGGGATGGGGCAGCCACAGCTTCTCTGGGCACCCTGTGCCAGCGCCTCAGCACCCTCACAGGGAAGAACTAATCTAAATATGCTTAATCTCCATTTATTAAAGGCTGGATGAATGAGCAAGAGGAGTCCTACTGTCCTTCCTTTTGACTCTTCAAACCCTGAAGAAATGGCACATCGGGTGTCACTTTGCACTTAAAGCTATGGTGTGGAGGCAGACCCTGGAAGGTGTTTGAGCCAAGGGGGAGAGAAATCTTGTCCCTTCTGTGATTACCATGTTACAAGAGAAGCTCTGTCTGTGACAAGGGAGGCACATGATAAACTTCCTATCCCTAGCAGATGACAGCAGCTGTTTTATTCCTGTTCCTCAGCCTGAGTCAATGTAAAAATAATAAAGGAAAAAATCAGTGCAGTCTGCAAAGGTCATGACAAGGAATTAACTGGAATCTCTGGGATTCTGCAGTCCAAATATGTGCAAAACAAAAGGTCTCTGGCCTCACGTACACCAGTACTTCAGGAAAATTCATTTTCCCACCTTCTGTTCTGCTCATGCTGGTACAAAGCAAAAGCAGCATCCACAGCAGGGTCTGTTCTCGCCTTGCAAAGATGTGGTGCTGCATAGTAAAGCTGCAGCCATACAACATTACATTTTTTATACAGGTACAACCAGCAACTACATTTTGGGCCCGAAACAACCTTCTTCAGCAAGTGCAAGGATGGAGGCACTGGGTGGGCTAGACCTACAGATGGAGACAGATGTTGCAGGAAAGATTGGCACTTGTTTTCCAGGATTTTTCTAGCCTTGCAATCAGGACTGGGATTGTTCTGCCTCCTGACTGCACTGCCTTGTAATTCCTTTGGGAGCTTCTCATCTTCTTGCTGAGCATAGGAAACATAGTGAGCAAAGCAATGGATCCCCTCCTGCAGTAAAAGGGCTTTTGAACCTCATCTGGTATAAATCTATAGAACAGCAAGTCGTGCACCAGTGAGTAGGAGAGCAGACAAAAGGGCATTATAAGAAAGGGCAAATTGAGCTATAGAAATGGGAAAGGAAGGGAGAGATTAGGAAAAGAAGGAAAAGGGCTGCCAAAACCAAAGCAGGAATCTTTTCTGGGGAGTGACAGGCTGGGGAAGGAGTGAAAGGTTCCTACATAAAAGTAGCCATTCGTTTGTAAGGGCAGGTGATCTGTATGGAGGAAGAAGGAGGAGGAAAGCACATGATGCAAAATATACTGTAGAGGACCATGGAAAGAAAGAGGTTAAGGTACACAAAGGAATAAAAGAAAATCAGTCAATACAATTCTGGCACTTCAAGGAAAACAAAAGTGCGTTTTATACTGACTCCATCACGGTGTGTGCTGCTGCAGATCAGTGTCTGCTGGATCCTGGTTTGTGATAATCTCATTTGGGACTTTGTAACATGTAACTAATAAAATGCTTTTCTTTATGCATGTTGGACATAAAAAGAAGGGGGAGTTCATTCTAAGGACAATGCATGAGGGTGCAATAAAGTGTGCTGGTCCCATTTTGGGGAAGTTAGAGGCAAAGAAGAAGATACAAGTTATTTTCTTTCATTAAAGTAAAACAAAACCAAAGCCAGCCATGTTCCACTTACCATTTTCTCCTCTTTGGCAGGTGGGCTTCGAAGGAAAAAACACAGGGGAGCGAAGAGGATATCCACAATCCCTATAATCGTCATGAGCCATGGAAATCCGATGGCCTTTGCAATGGCACCGCCAGCAGAGGGACCTTGTATAAATAAAACCCCTTTTCTGAGGATCCCTCAGACACAGCATTTGCAGCAGTCACTTTAAGCAACAGTGATTTTATACACAAAACTCCCGCTTTACAAATTGGTTTGAGGAATGTAGAGACATGCTTGTAATTATAACATAAACCTTTCCTGGCTTCATGCTTCATTGAGGAAGAGATGCTCTTGTGGTATTTGTACCATGCGCTCAAGGAGGCAGTGGGGAGTTATTCCCCTCTCAGACTATTGAGAGCACAGCTGTGGTGTTAGTTTTAACTGTTCCAAAGGATATCCTATTTGTATTTAGTGCCTGAGACCTTCAAGCCTCTTACAGCTAATGAAGCTGAGCACGACATCGCAGCAGAGGAAAACAGATGCCAAACACGATTCCCTCTGCTTTCATTTCTTATAGAATATAAGAACCCCTGCTCATAAAGCCTGTGAATGCCACTGGGATTCACACCTGGCATCACAGCATATTCCCTCTTCTTAACTGTGCATTATAGGCAGGAAAAGGTTGGACTTACCTATGGCAAAGCCCATGCAGAAGGCAACATCAGCTATTGCATACACGCTGCCATAGACTGATACGTGACGCAGATCTACAAGGTAACCCATAATTGGCATCATGGAAGAATCCACCATTCCTGGTCAGGAGGGAAGGAAAAACACTTCAGGAAAATACAGCCTTTTTTTTTTTTTCCCCTTTTAAATGTTTTGGACAGCTATGTGCTACAAAGGGATGCAAAAGCAACTAAAAGATGCTTATTCTTAAATAAGCAGAAAGATGTGTGTAAAAGTAGACTGTATTATCTGCGGTTTTTATGGTCTTTACTGTGTCTGAGGTCATGTATGGACATGCATAGACATGTATGGACACGCATAGACATGTGCATATGGCACATGTGCAAATCTGCTGACCAGCCAAGAGCTAAAACCCAAGCCAGGTCCCCTCCAGCCTGTGTGCTCCAGCATAAGCAGAGCTCACACATAACACTTGAAGGCTTGGGAATTCTTATTTGATGAACACAAATTTAAGCCTGTTTTTTTCCTTTTTTTTTAATATGAAAATATCTCTATAAATTCTCTTCCACACCAGGGAAGTCTGTGGGTTTCGGGCAGTGCATGGCTCCATTACTGAAAACCATATATACGTTCATGGACATTCATTTGAAAGGTCTATGTAGGTTGATGGAGGAATTCTGGGCGCAGTTCAGAATCCAGCTTAACAGCAGCCTGGTTTAAGCTGCCCTTCAATCCTCCTTGCTCTACCTACCAGTTTGGGCTGCAGCTCAGGCATCACTATCGTCTGATCACAATGGCAACAAAACCAATTTCCCATGTAGTATCATATAAAATCAAGTTTATGCAAAAACCAGACTGTAAGAAGTCATTGTAATTTTTCTTACCAATGGCAAATCCAACTCCAAAGTTTGGTGCTATGAGCCCATAAATGTTTTTAGCAAATGGTACCTATAAAGGAAATGTAGGCAGTTCATTATGTCACAGTGCACATGCTAATGGGATGGTTTTCTTCTTCTAAGGTATGTTCTCCAAGTAGTTATGGCACACTTAGCGTGGATGTGAGAGTCAGAGTCTGGTCCTTGCTCTGGGGTACCATTTCAGACAACTGTGCCATTAAATCACTGACACACTTACTATTAGGAGCAACACTGGTAACTGCTCACTACTCACACACTGTTAAGTGATAGCTCAAAAGAAAAAAGATCACCTTCTTTCAGAGCCATTCTTCCTTAAAAGAATTGAAGCATTGAAATTTGAAAGCACTCGAAACTCTGATCTGGAACCTATTAACTACACATTGTTTAATAACATATCATAAAGCAAAATCTCATGGGGAAGGCACACATTTGAAGATGAACACACAATTACTTAGATGGTTTGAAAGATACATGATCGTCTACTTACACATAAAATACTTATTCCCACGATTAGCATCCCAAGTAAAGCACAAAGCCACCTATCAAAGAAGAAACATCACTTAGAGATCGGTGATACCGAGATGTTAGAGCTGATCTTGAATGCTTCAAAGCCATGTTTGAAGCGCCAAGTTACACAACCAAAGCAACAAAATGTTCCAAAAATCAATTTTGTTACTACAGAACAAAGCATAGTAATTTCCTATCACTAAACTGCCCTGGAAAACACTGGAAATAGAAAGACTGGAAGATTATTAATGTTTTTAAATTAAGCCTACCTTCCCATTTTGTGTGCGAGTATCCCAAAAAGATTAGTCCCAATAAGATAAGAGATACTAGCTGGAAGAAAAGCAACACCTGAAAAATACGAATGAGATGTTTTATAAGCAAGGATTTTAGTGAAGTGTTAGAAGAAACTAATAAATTCCAGACACTGCAATTTTGATCCGATCGCATCCAATAGAGCCTTTGTGCAGAGCACGAAGAATCAAATATCCGGTTTGTTGCAGCCCTCTTATGAAATCTAAAGGCATCATCTATGAAATGTGGGAGCGACGTGACACCTTTGAAAAGAGTTCTTCAGCCTCAGCTGCAAGAACTGGTATAGGAGAGGGGATGGAATAACAGAGAGCAGAAAGTTTATATCTAACTGCAATAAGCTTTGGGATAGGTCAAGGAAAGCCACTCTTTCATGGCTGTGTGGCTTATGGAGCATATGCTCAGCACATGCAGCAAGCCCACAAGTGTCAGGGGTGGGTGAATCCCTTCCTGGAGTGGGGGGCAGCAGGGCTGCTGCTGTGGCTTGGCAAGTAATGTCCCCCTCTATGGCTGCGAATGCCACGAGGCCTTGTATTACAAGTGAGTTTGTAATGCCATGGTGTGAAGTAATGACTGAAGTCAAACATACATCAATAATGTAAAGGTGAAAAAAACCACAAAACCATGGTTTTAACATTATTTAGCCAATGCATCTACAGTGAAAGTTAATTTAAAATAGTTATTGGTGTAAATTAAAGAATCTAGTTATCTGCAATGACTTACAGATAATGGCACCCATATAAATCCACCCTGATGGGAGGACGCCCTCCCATCTCCCCACATCCACTTGGAAAATACTGTTGGAGCCAGCCATTTTTTCTAGCCTTCAGGTTTCCACAGCAGCGACTGTACCTGGATTAGATGCTGGCGGCGTGATGGACAGAAATAACTCTGCTTTAAAAGCCAGTTACAGTCCGTACCTGAGGGTTCATCCTCTCCCTACACCTAAGTCACAGGCCAGGACCCCAGCCACAGGGGAGGTGTCAAAGGAAGATGTGCTAGTGGAGAGCACAGTGTGGCATTGTCCTGGCTGCATGAAGAGCACTAGGGAGGATGATGGAGGTGTGTGTGTGAGAGCAGGGGATGCCCTTGAGGAAAAGATATTGTATGACAGCTATTCAAAGGGGCAGAGCAACAGGGTGCTTGTGCCTAATGCTGGATCCTTATGCAACAGTGCTGGATGGTTCATGAGTCTTGGAAGAAATAACATAGTATTGCATTTTTTTTCTGGTTTTCCTGTTAAATTCCACATCATCCTAAGAAAAATAGAACTGGGACAGTCTGTCAAATTAGTGCATGCCACAAGAACTTCTATTTGGTCACCATTCACTCAGATAATTTAGATTTAGAAAGCAGCTGTTATATTACAGTACACAATCCAACCTTTTCCTTAAAGTGTATATGCTCCTCATCTTTCACCAAGGCAACGTAGATTTTCTCATTTCCTGCCTATCCATCTTCCTTCTTATCTCTCTGATATTCAAAAGTAAAAAAATCAAGGGGTCATTTTTAGCAGAGCAATATCCTGTGACTGAAATCCTTATGGGTTACAAAAGCGACGCTGGGGAAGCATTTTCACCTGCATAACCGCAGCTACTTCAGTCCTGCTTGGGGCTATCTGTTTGTGGCAAACGGGCACATGGAGTAGACCTTTACAGCTGGAAGAAAATAAATACACTACAACGACTTGCAGGTTGGTGGGTAAGCTGTGTGATGCTGAAGCAGACCCGTCATTTTCTAAGTGAGCTTTATGCACAGCAACATTAATTGACCAAATCAAGGTTCTTTACACCTTCTTCACATCGTGCTTAAGCAGCTGGGTCTCCAAATTGCATAAGACAACAATTTGCTTAGAACCCTGCAGTTAGAGATATAGTTTAAAAGGTTTAAGAACTTTAATTAATGCTGTCAAATCAGACAAAGTGTGATGGAGTCAATTTACTTATATCATTGAGAGGTAAAATTAGTCTTTGTTTAAAATGGATCTTTTCCTTCTAAGAACCTTTATTCTACCAAGAGATTTGTAAATCTCATTTCCGTTGCACCAGTAATAAGAAACTCTTGTGAGGGAGGTAGATAAGAATCTTTCTCTTTGTGAGGTTTAAAATACCTAAGTATGTGTGTTAATTTTGCTGTATTACCGTGGAGCCATTACCATGCTCAATAGCACAGCAGCACATCAAGTGCTACCCATAGCCACCCTACACCTGAGTTGCATTAATTAGAACTAAGGTTTGTGCTTTCTATATGGTGTAGGACACCCACATGCACACAGAGTAGGGATATTAGTCAAAGGCTAGCAGAACATCATTTTCAAGAAGGATTCTTATTCTCCTTGCAAATGCCATATATTGATAGTAAAAAATACCCTCCTGAAATGCCACAGCACAGAACACTTCATTAACTTTATCACATAGATATATGTTGTGTTTGTAATGGGAACTCTTCCTTCAAACTATTAAAAAGGTAAACACCATTCAGATCTATGCAGAGGACCAACACTATGCCAAGCACCCCCCAGACAAGCCAGTTCACATCGACCTGGTTTCCCGAGACTGTGTCCCTGTTACAGGTTATAAGGTCCAAGTGGGGTCTCGCCCATTCCTCTTTGTTGAATGGGATGACTCAGTAACAACTGAAAGGGTATCAAATCCATTAAATTAGAGGGAAAGTGCTTCTCATGTCCTTGGTGGCCACCTTTCAAGTAAAGGCTATCCTTCTACCACGTTACCAGAAGCATCCGTGGAAGGGGTATGTGCTGGCATGAGCGTGCTCTGCACCAAACAGAGTGCATCGGCTGCAGATTCCTGTGACTGCCTGCTCCTGGCAATTCAAAATAGGAGCTGAGGATGGATTCCTTCTGGGAAAACCCCCACCAAAACAACCCAAACACAGTTTTGCCCTATTGGGCTGCCTCTGTGGCTCAACAGGTATCTATCTTGCAGCTACCCCAGCCAACGTTCACTGCCAAATGTGCTGCTAGGGCTCCCAAAGAAGCCTCTATTGCAATAACATAGATCCACTACCTGTTTTTCCTTACAGACCACTGTTTGCAGTTGTAACACTGGTAATACTGAAAAATAAAAGCTGGTAAAACCAAAATTACTACTCTGCAGCTTATAATTACAGTTAATATATACAAGCTTATATAATAATATATAAGCTTATAACCATCATTAACAGGACCAGAACTGAGACAGCCATTAGATAAAATAGAGATGCAAATAATATACTGTACTTTACCAAGCTGCCATTTCTTTGAACACATGGTCTCCATCATCCAGATGGGTAAAGCTGGTTCCAGCATAGCAATAGCCATGTTTGCAAAGCAGATTGATCCTTAGGGAAAGGAGGAGAGGGAAATAAAATAGTAGTAATTATTTCATTTGACTATGAACAAAAAGCCATGCAAAGAATGGATGCTTTTACATAAAACGTTGCACTTTTTACAGTTCTAATTGTTGTGCATTGGTTAGTGTTAAATAGAACAGAAGGTAACATCGCTGAAGACTTTTACATATATTTCTATTCTCCTAGAAATTCTACAATGAAGGTTAAGCTACTTTCATAATGTGAAAGTTTGCAGTGAGCTTGATGATATTTAGAAAGTTCATGAGGTCTGGCTGTTGTACAAATGATTAGCTAAAACTACAGTCTTGTAGTCTTTATCTAGTCTCCTAGGGCAAAACCAGAGCCCTGTTGTGTAAAAGGCACCGGCTCTGACCCCGTGCCTCCCTCATCTGAAAACAACCATCACGAGATGTGGAGGTCTTGATCCTAAAAATACCAAGAGACAACCACAGAGATGTCTATCCCCTACAAAAAGGAATTCTGTGGTGAGATCCTTTTTGCCTGCAGCCAGTAAATCCATGCAGCAAAACATGGGTTTGGCTGAGCTTGCCCAACCCTATGAATTTCAAATGCTTCCAAATCTCTTTTGAATCACTGGACCTTTAGTCCCCAGATGCAAAGGATAACAAGAGGTGGAAGTGCTGATTCAGTCTTGCCCCCAGCTCAGCTCTGCCCTTCATCACCGCCTGCAGATCCAGACTCCAGTGGGTTTGTGTCAAGTTCATCTATCCTCAGTTGTGCACTTCAGCTTTAGCGCAGGGATTATTAAATCCCATGGTATTTCTTTGGATTCAAGATGTCTTTCCCACTTACTCAAAATAACCCAAGGCAGTCAAAGGCTAATGGAGGGTAACAGGACATGTCCCTTTTGCTAATCCCTTACAAAATGGCTTTGGAAGTCACTGCTACAAGTGACATCAAACCGGTGTTCTCACTTTTCCTCTGAATATATACAACCTCTGAAATGTAGGAAAACTTTCTGAACTCCTACAGTCATTTACCATCCAGATTTTACTTTTCTTAGAGAAATTCTTCCGAGGGCAGAGAAACATTATTTCTCCTGGAACAAGTTTCTCATCATGCAGCTCAAACCAAAATGAGCACCGATGTCATTCTTTGCTCAAACCTGTCAGAATACATTAGACTGTGTATTCACAACTCCCAAAATGAACTTGGCTCACTCCCTTCCTAGGGCAAAGAGCAACAGTTCAGCACTGCTTTACCCTAAAGAGGAAAGCTAACCTTTCCACTCCAGTACAAGCTCCCACTAATGCAGTGCCTGTGAGGAGCCGCGGTCAAACACCTCAGGGTTGCCCTCTTCCAAGCCAATATCAGCCATGCTCAAGCAGCTTCCTTGATGCTGGAAAACCACATTTCAGGCCACACAAAGCACAGCCAGAAGAAGCAAGGCAATTCCAACAGAGATGGATTAAATAGCAAAGGCCTTGTTCTACTCTTAACAAACTTAACAAAGAAATGAGATACAGGTGTGCGTGCACACAAGGGCGGCATCAACATCTCATTAGTTCAGGGAGCATCACCTGAGCTTAGCAAAGTACTCAGGTATACAGTGGCAAAGGTCCTTCAGATCTTTATAGGATGTACCCCAAGAGAAAAGTGAGAGCCTGAACTGGTACCCTGAAAATTCAGAGCAAAGTCCAGTGAAGGCCGAGTTACCTTAGCAAAGCTTCCCCCAAAGAAGATTATATTGGGTTTTCTTTCCCTCTGTCTTGCATGGAGCTGACCTCTTTTTAAAGGGTGATCTCTCAAGGACATAAACCCTACCTCGTGTCTTCTTTAAACAAGAATAAATGTCCTGTGTGGGCCAGAAGGTGCAAAGTTGCAACCTTCCAGCTGGATCCTATCTCTGTAGCTGAGAACCCACTTAGCTTTTGGCAGAGTGACATAGACATCACTGGTATTTCCCCATGAGAAAGCATTACTCAGTGCAAAGCTGTCACACACCTTCTCAAGATCCCATGTGCTCACTATGACATCTGTCTCAACTTTAGGGTTTGGATCTGATAGTTTCAACTAACGTGGTTTTTGCCTTGTGATAGCTATATATAAAAGGTACCCAGCCATTAGGACTAGCCATAGGGACTGCAATATACAGGGAGTGAATGAGAGCACTGGCCTCCTGTCTGTTGTGACAGTCAACATTATTAACTCATAGAAAAAAGGGTTTTATCAAGGGAAAGAAGTTCCACTTTCAGAAAGAAGAGAGAGGAACTCCATGCTTCAGTTCAAGACACCTTGTGTTCAAGAGTAATATCATGCTACAGATAAGCCAAATTGGTCAGAAAGTGCTTTGAGAATACAAACAATTATGACTCAAGTGCATGACGCATGCTCAGGAGATTGAATCTGAATTTGTACCATGAAATTAGTGCACCTAAATCGAGAGTGCAAGAAACACTGATACTGCCATGCCCGTTTGCAGTGTGCCTAAAGTGTCCCTGTGTTTAACAGCGATTAACAAGTCAGCCCACTAGAGATGCAGTCAATTTTTAATGAGGAAGTTAACTGCCTTAAAAGCCATTCAAAACCTCTAATCTTCCGGAGCAGTACAAACCCAGTGGGACTTACAGCCTTCTTCTCTCTAATCACTGTGTCTGAACATCATACACAGTGTGGGACATCCATATTCACAGCATCCTTGTGAAGCAGAAGACATATTATCCTGGCTTAGATATGAAGAAATGTGGCATGGTGCCTCAACTGATTGCCCCAAGGTGTCAGAGCATGGAGCTAACTCTGCCATCCCAAACAACTGCTTACCCATCCTTCCCTGTTAGGATCAGGATTGAGTTTCCATCTTAGAATATAAAGCAAGGAAAATACCAAACTCCTCAGGGTAAGAGAGAACAAATGAAACTTTCATACTCTTTTCACTGTTAAAAAGCAGCAGCTTCAGAACTAAAGCAATTAAGCAATATACTCCTGGAGCATCAAGAAAGCTGCATCTAGATTAATGCGCTCTCATAAGCCAGATAAAAGGCTGAATTTATAGTTGGTGTTTGGTGTTCATCATATTTGGTTTGTAAGGGAAATAAAACAGGAGGAGAAGGGGCTGAGGTTAGAGAACATCAGCATCATCCATACTGCGAAAGCACTGGGCAGTTTCCATCCTGCAAGGCAGAAGCCCTGAATGCTGCACCTAACCTAAGAAACGTAACAGTGAAAATAATTAGCTGTTTCCAGGTGTTTTATCAACATTAAGAAGGGCCAGACTTCATTACAGACTTCAGAATAAACATGCACCAAAATGCAACACAAAAAGGCAAACTTCCCTTGAGACAGAACAACTTATTAGACAAACAATGCACGTAATACCAAACGACATTCCCCATTCAACCCAGACCTTTTCTGAAATAGAATCCATGCTCTAGAGATCAAACCCACTCCCCCTCTTCAAATGGAAACAAAAGTTCGGTGTTATTCCCTATGCCTGCCTGTGACACGCTGGAAAACCCTCCCTCTAAAGCCTTCATCCTATTCACTTGCCTCATAGGAAGTTTCATGGCCACATCTCATTGCCTTGGCAAGCAGCTTCAAGTCATTAGTGTCCTTTCAGCTGGAAACACACATTTTAAGGTTTCTGCCTATTACATGTATACATATACTAGTATATTCATCCTATATTACCAACAGGTTCTTTGAGCTTGATGTAAATGAGGCCAGCAATGACAGTATTGTTAAACCATCTTAACCTGAGGCATTCCAGGTATAACACCAATGGTTTAAACAAAAAGGATCTGGTACCTGCTGCAATAATGATATACGGGTCCTTCAAAAGTGTCAGTAACGGCGTCCCCTTCTGACTCTATGAAACAAAAGCTCGGGATTAGGAAAGGCAAAGTGTCATCCATTGCCTAGAGTGTTTTACCTTAATACTTACTTCTGCTTGTGCTCTGGATGGCTGCAGAACAAATAATTGAACAGCTGTGAAAAGAAATCAATACTGTAACATTTCTTGGGGTTTAGACAGTAGGGGTTTAGACAGTAATATGAAAGGGATGTGCTGCATGGTGATATTGACTCTCCGTATTTACTGACCTCCATCTAACAGAGCTAGTGCTGCCAGCACCAGGAAAGGAGAACTCTTCCCCACAAACTCGTACATGACACTCCCAAAAGGTGGACCCACTGCCAGGGAGAAAGAAAGGACACAGCTGTGAAGCCACAACTCTGAACAAACATCCCCTACAAGCGGTTGGGCATCCTACTATTGGGGTTCAGTGACCAAAGCGCTCAGTGTAAAAATGCCCACAAAGCTCACTGATCATGACAGTAACCATATTCTTCACTCCCAAAGCACTCTTCCATGTAAACAGACCCCATACATCTCAGACATTATTGCCTGTCGTATGCATCTACATAAGAAATATGCTGCTGTGCGAAAAACTCTTCATAACGTGCACCATGGATGTAATGCGGAGACAGCACCATAACATTACACTCAGTGAGATCCCTCTGCTGCTTTCATAGATCACAAGCACATGCTTTGGGAAGGCTGGGGGGTGGTTTCTCTTGCCAGCAAAGCCTTCGACTCACTGACCTAAGACTCCCATAGCAAGGCCTCCTAGTGCAATTCCCATCGCGTTGCCTCTCTCTTCATCATCTGTATATACACTGGCAAGCATTCCCATCCCTAAAAAGGAAAAATAACAACACAAAATTAGGCATCTGCATACTACAATTTATGGTTATCATTTGCCAGCCCTACTAAATATTGTACAGAGGCAACAGCAGGTATTTGTGTATATATATATATATATATATATATATATATATATATAAAACATAAATATTCCCTCCCCATAGAAATCACATTGAAGTAAAAGGGGATTTGGCAATGTTTACGGTCTCCAAGAACTTGTTCTGCTGTACAGTATTAGGTAATTCAATGATGCTCTGATTTTCTAGATTCTTTGTCCTTGCCTTTGTTGCAGAGCTTTCAGATGAGGCTTTTCAGCTAGCAGAAACAAAGCTTGTGACGAGTATTCCCTGTTCTTCATTCCCTGGGTGCTTCACACAAAGGTCTGGTGACCACTCACAGCTGTAACCGTGGTCAGTGGTAGCTGTGCTCTGGGGCTGGGGTATTATGCAGAGCTGACTGCTTTGAAAATGAGTATTTCAAGTTCAACATCCAAAGTTAAAGGATTCTTTTGACCTTTATTTTCAAGTGCCTCACTTCTGCGTTTGATGATGAGCCTTCATTTCACAAAGGAAACATGAAGCTTATTTCATTTGTGGCTTTGTAAAACACTCAGACTCTGTAAGCGTAAATGCTGCAGAAGGGTCCTCATAGAAATTAACAAGTCTGTTTTCAAATCAAGGTTTAAGTAGGACTCAGTAAATAAGGTCCATGACTAGAGAAAATGATAACAAACTATTGCACGATTGATCATTAAATGAAGCGCATCAAAAGAGCAGAGGTCCTGTGTGAATTAACACCCTTATTCAAAGTTGTGGATGGCATCAAACTGTTTGCATGAGCAGTTGAAGAGCAAGCTAGGGAACGGTCTCAGAATTCACAATGAATTTGTGGCTTTTTGGGACATACTCTGAACGAAAGCAGTAGGCAATACAAAGAAGATAATGCAATGGTTTACATGTAGGTAGGAATGACTGCCTGCACAAATTCAGGTGCTAAACAACTGATTGGCAGCAATACCACAGAAAGCCTCCGTTGCCTGTGAAATACATGAAGCAACAATCACTGCTGTTGGTCTTTGCAAGGAGTCAGAGCTTCTTCCGAGTGCTGGGTCTGGTGCAGCATAGGAAGAAAGGGAAGGGTGAGCAAAGGCTTAGGGAAAGATCTGTGAGGGGAACTGCAGGACTTTCAATTGAAAATGGGAGAGGAGGAAAACTGATGTGATAATAATCTTGCAATATGAGAAAGAGCCATAAAGATAAAGAAAGGGTTCTTCATGTTCTCTCAAGTACAGGAAGCAGAAATAGATTTACATGACAGTAAGGAGGTTTTAGATGAGACATCAGACAAAAAAACTTCCTGACAGTAAAGGTACTCCAGCACAAAGCTAGATGCTGAGGGCATTTCTGGAGGCTTCTGAGAACATGTCTGTCAAGGATGCATGAGGAACTACAGATACAGAGCTGATCCTGCCTTCAGGAAGGGGGTGGACTAGAAGATCTCTTGGCCTTTTCTGCTCTATTTTCTACGTTGTCTGTGAAAAAATGTCATGTACTCGTCTATGAGCTGTATCTCAAGATGTGCACTTGCACAGGGACTGGGTTAAAGCTGAACAATGTTTAATTCTGGTATGTCTTCCCTTTGGAAAGTTTGCCTTGTAACCTTAACTGGTACAGGAGAAAAGATGGATTTTCTTGTCTCTACCTCTCATGCTGCTCTGCCTTCTCCATCCCTGGCTCCTTATACCAGCGCCTGCCTGCTCCCTTAGCCACATCCCTACTCTTGCCACTACTTATCCAGGCTTAAATCTCTTTGCTTAACTAGTGCTTGCTGCGTGGCTTCAAACCCATATTAAACATCAGGTGCTTCTTGCTCCCAGTTTGGATGCTCAGCCTGGGGTCTTGCATCCCCCCTGCAGCACTGCCCAAATGTGGGCTGGAGCAAAGTCCCTTCTAAAAGAACCTAGCAGGAATCCAGCTGTCAAGCTCCTGCTGAGTTTCCATGGAGTGTATGCGAACCCCGCTTGTAGGTTAATCCAACCTGGAAAGGGGAATTTTCCTGAGGAAACCAAGACACGCTCCTGACAGAACACTGCATTCACCTCCCTCCCAAACCAAATTCATATTTCTCCTGACATTATAGGAGATTTTTTCCAGAAAAAAAGTGCAAAATATTCTAACACGACCCAAATGTGTTTTCTTCAGTCTCAACCCCAGGAAGGGTTAAATAATTTGCGCTGAGAACCCGCAATCCATTTCACCTGCTCAGTTAAAGCCTTTATTGTATTGGAAATCCAGCCCAGGTAAACTGAGTCCAAACCAGCAGACAGCATGGTAAGCCCTTGTAAACAATGTTTCATAAGAGAAATCTCAGTAACAGACAGAGCTGCTATCCCTCCTATAACAAATACCAACATAAGTTCCCAATGACCTTTAAAATGGCCAAAAATGAATTTAAAATGTGGAAGACACAGATGCAGAAATCCCAGGGAGAGTGCAGTTCATTTAGTGTTCTACCTTACTGCAACCCAAATACCAAAGTAGGCTGAAAAGACATTTACTTTAGAGCTACTTTATATGAAAGGGACAAAAAAACCATGGAATTGATTTAATTGAACATTTTTGTATTAATTATTGAAAGTGCAGACAAAATACAATTCACAAAGTGACCGAAAAAATGACAGAATCAGTGATTTGCATTTTATTCTATCATCTCTTCTCTTACCTGCTACTGAAGAACAAGAGGAACCCACTCCTTGAAGAGACCTGGCAATAAACAGTAATGTGTAGCTTCCAGAGAAGGCAAACACTACAGGAAAAAACAGGGGCAAATTCTTCAAATTAGGTTAACTGTAACTAGGTTAAAAAGTTAGATTTCTTGAAACAACCACAAAAACTTCATACAATTTAGTCAAGCGTTTACAGTGCTGCTTTCAATGCTAACTGCATTATTTTCCCTTATTGCATTTAGAAGTGTCAGTGTTGAATGGCTCTCAGGTGTTTAAGCCTCCTGGTAACACAGAATGCAAGCACCCAAGCAGTTTTAACTAATTACTTGGGATTGGATTACATCCAGCTCTGATTCAGCTATACACAAGAGGAGTAATAAGACCTTTCTTTCCAGCCTTGCCTCCCCATGCTGCTACATTTAAGTCTGAAGCTCCAGGCATTTAGGGAAAGCAAGATTTAACACACCTGCATCCATGCACCAACATTTCCTTCCGTAGGTAAATAGGTGGAGAGAGGTTTTATCCTGCTGTTGCCAGCTCCACATTAGATGTCATGCAGCACAGCTGGCTGCAGGGGCAAGGAAGTCAGTTCCACCCATTCAAGGGCTGCAGCAAGGTCCTGATTCTGCCAACAGCACAGCATCAGAGTAACTGCACCAGAGGAAGGGCCTGTCTGTCTTTCTTTGATTTAACCCCAGGTTCTACTCTCAGCCAATATCTGTCTTCTGGGACACATCACCTGGATGCTGCTCTCATCAGTCTCACTAAATTCCCCATCCACAACTCTGCAAATTAGGGGCGTTCCAGAAACCCAAGCACAACTCTGCCTGTTAGAGCTTGTGTGATGTTCAGTGTCATTCAGCCTACAGTGAGGTCTTAACGGTTTTGCAGCTCTTATCTGTTGGCCACCTAAGGAATTTTGCTGGATAGGTTGGAGCTGTGGGAAGCTGTTACGCACCAACTAAACAGCAGATCCACATGTACTTCGCCCTGCAGTGCTGTGCCCCTAGGGCTTTCCAGCAGGTCTTACCAAAACCTCTACCCATGTGGACAAAGAAAAGCAAAGGAAAGAAGGAAGGATGTCAGCAGATCAACAGTACTCCCCTTTGCCATGAGCCAGGCTCACTGCTCTTATCTCCATCCCAACCAGAATTTGTCTAATGTGTTTCTAAAATGCAGAGTTGTCAGTGACTCTAAGACCAGCACTTCAGTCCCTGATAATACAGTTTCTCTTATATACAGTGGATATAGAAAACTCTTTGTTCCCTTCCTTTTTGTCATGGACTCTGATAGGTCTCTTATCTACGTTTGGAAACAAACCTGGTTCTTTCACCACTCTCACAGGCTTCTAAGGATCCTTGTTCTCCTCTGTACTCTTTCTATCTGGGACACAGCTTTAAGTGCCATGCCAAAACCAAACATAAAACAGCAGCTGAAGCCTTATCAATGCCATTAGAGCAGACGAATTATCTCAGCTGGCTTGCAGGCTGTGCTCCTGTTTGCACATCCCACAGTGATGTTCAGCAGCGCTATGATACTGTTGACTCATACTGTACTCATGAGCCACTGCAGCCTCATGATCTTTCTGATAAGCCCCTACTATAGCTAGCCGTTAAGGACCCTTCAAAATAGCCCTCTCATGGCTGATAGCCCTCCCATGGCTCTCTGTTTAAAGCTGTCTGAGCACTACTTCAGATTCTAAGAACCTGAAAAGTCAGCTAAGGAAAAGACACATCAAGGTGGGACGGAAGGTTGTGAATTCCTTAGAGCACATTCATGACAGCACACTTGTCAAATCTCATCACCACCACCATCCACATGGAAGTCAGTCTCTCTACATCAACAAGAAGTGATAATCATATGTATCATATATTTAAAAGCTACATCTGGACCAGACCAAATAAGTTGTGAACACTTACTGATTGTTGACACAAACATGATGCAGAAGCCAGCAAACAGGGGGATCTGGTAGCCTATTCTGGAAAACAAAATGAACACTCACATTTCTGGGATTGTCTCACTGACATTTTGGGTTAGACTTACTCACATGAGTGTGCACACCACAAAACCCCAACCTATAGTTCCTTGGTAGGCTTTGAACTATTTTCTGCGGACCACAGGATCAAATTTGTCCATGTTAGAAATGCCTTTTCATGTGGCACAGCAGATTTTATATCTGAAATCCTTGGAAGAAATCCTTCTCTCATTAGAATCTGAATGCCCTATTCTCACTCTACCATCATTATTCCCAATAAAGCCCCTCTGGGCCTCCATGGGAGTTGCCAAGGATATGAGTAGGGCAGATCTGTCTGAGCATGCTGGACTTAGAAATAACCCAGTTGGTTTCAATGCTCATCTGTTTCCATCCTCATGAGACAATGACTATAATGAGATACAGTGGTTCCAATGGCTTTTTTACTGGAAACGTTTTTCATCAGCTTTGGTGGGAGCTCTGCCTTCAGCAGCCAGGAGTGCTGGAAGAGTCCCAGAGATCTTGAGAATAACATTTTTGCTTTCCATGGACTTAGGAGTAAAAATGGAGTTTATAAAAGCTTTCCTCATCAGCTCGCTTCTTTTTTAGGGCTCTAAAGTGCCTGTGGAAATGCCTGGTTGCTATCAGCATTTTCAAGTTTCCAGGAAATAAAGAATTTTCTGTCTGGAAAGCAAATGCAATTTTAAGCACCTAAAACTGAAATTTCAACAAGAACAATTACAATATACTCTTTTCCATGCCATTAAAAATCTATCTTAGAATCAAAACCACTACCTGGGTAACTCTGAATACTGCGCATTCTGTTGTGTTCTGTTAAGCACACTTTATTCATGGCTTCTTTTTTGTAGGACTGTGCATCTCAAATGTATTTTCAAAGACATTATTTAATGGCCAAGTTCCTCAGCAATGGATGAGGCTTTTCAAAGGAGTTCTGACTGACTTCAGCTTCCAATGGTGTGACAGTATTGGGCATTTATATTGGCATTATTGGCTAAAGTAGGTCAGTCAAATAATGGTCCTTTTAATTCTTAATAACAGCAGTCACGACATAGGCAAATCAAAACAATTATTCTGAGCTTTTTTTCTTGTTAATATAGCTTTTATACAATTAAGGACCATCAATAATGCAAATCTCTCTGAAGTCCAGGGCTTGACGTTCATTACATGTCTCCCTGCAACGTTTGTTTGAGTTTTGTGAATGAACACATTTCTACATGCCACAGAAATCTCTAACAAAGAACAATTTTACCTGAAGTATCATTACTACATTAAAATATGTCAAAAACACAGTCTGCAGATTCTTTTAGTTGAACTTTTTAAGTGGGTGTTACACCAGCAGACACTGGTTGCTCATGTGCTACTTAACTGGACTGCTATTTCCAATGCAAATTAAATCCCTGGCCACTTTCTCTGTGGCCTTATGATAATCATTTTAATCTCTCAGCACCTTGATACCTGGCCTGTGAGAGAATAATGCTACCTTTTCTTGTCTGCTTTGTTTAAAGTGGATGATTTTTCTAAGCCTGCCTCTTCTCTTGCTGTGTGTATAATAGGTGTTGTACAATGGGATGCCAATCTCCTCTTCATCAGGGACTGTAGCGTTAGGACAAAGGGTAACGGGTTAAAATCAGAACAGGGGAAGTTCAGGTTAGATATAAGGAAGAAGTTCTTTACTGTGAGGCACTGGAATGGGTTGCCCAAAGACATGGTAAAAGCTCCATCCCTGGCAGTGTTCAAGGCCAGGTTGGACAGAGCCTTGGGTGACATGGTCCAGGGTGAGGCATCCCTGCCCATGGGGGGGATTGGAACTGGATGATCTTAAGGTCCTTTCCAACCCTAACGTTTCTATGATTCTATCATTCTATGTTTCTATGTACAGGGGGAAATAAAAAATTACCCATTATCAATGTCTTGCCTGACCCAGAGCTGAAGTGGGCACTTCTCTTCCCAGTGGGATCAAGGTGGAGCAGGCCACAAAGAGTTTGACCACAACAGCTTTGAATTTGAGTTCTTCAATTAAAGAAAGCACTGTCAGAAGGTCAGATTAAATAGAATAACCTAAAAATCCTGCAGGTATGGCTATGAAAGCAGAAGTTGAATGTCCTTACGCGTTCTTCCTTTGCAAAGTAGGGTTGTACCTGTCCAAAACATCTCAGAGATATTTGGGATGGGCACTGGGGGAGGAAGTCTGATTTCAGTACAGAAATCAAGCAATTCTTTGGCTTGACACAGGGGCCATAAGACAACAATTTCCTTCTGCTACAAGTACACTGAATTAAAATTCAGTTATGTACTTGAAGACAAACGCCATCCAAATTGGCTCCCACATTCACATTTCCACCACTAGAACAGAGACATGAGCTGTGAGATCTTCTACAAACATTAAGGAGTTAAGGTGAAGGCCTATCACACTAGTTCTAAATGATGCTATATCAAGCTAAAGCAGATTTCAACTCTTCCTACACTTGGAAAGTTTCTGGTGGTTGAAGGCTGTAGGAAAACAAGTATTTTGGTAAGTCACTTCTAATGCTGAATGAAATACTGTTCAAGCACAAGTTTTGCAGTCACAGACACTATTCCTCCATTATCTTGGACAAACAGGCCCACAGCAAGGTGTGAAGCAATATATAGCAGAGGGTGATGAGGACAGAACTGGAGCAGAACTCAGTCCTTCTCTTACTACCCAGCAAACCATGATGCTCTTTCACATACCTTTTCCTCCATGCAGAAATTAACCATTTCAGAACTAGACTCTGTCGTTTCAGCCAAAGCCTGCATTGCCAGTGATCCACCATACAAGATGATGCAAAGGCACACAGATCAGCAGAGGGCATACAGTTGTTCTAAACAGGTCATTACAACGCTCCTAAAAGCTACCTGGAGCTTCACCCACAATTTGGAGATGTGCGATTCTCATGTGCTGCTCCTGCCTGAGGCTTCTGAACCTCTAGAAGCTGTGGTCGCTCGTGCTCAGGAGATAGCCTTACCCGCATTCAGTTAACATTTAGTTCGATATGCAGGTTGTGCTTTCCTTAGCAAACCCTGCCTCTTAGCAAAGCCTGCCTCCTCCTGAAATAGCAGCACTAATTAGCTGGCAGTTGGGCTACCACAAATGTCTAAGCTGCAGCTGCATTCTCCAGTCTGTCCAACAGATACTAGCGAGCACAGACTGGGAGGTTTTGCTGAACTATTACACTATATAACAGAAATCATCACAAAAAGGAGAAGCGCTGCCTGTAACAGCCAACTTATTCATTGCCTCTGTCCCTCGGTCCTGGGCCATTGAAACCTGTGAATATGCAGTTCTTACTTCTCAGCCACGGCATGGCATATTTCATCACAGTTATCTCTACATTTTGTTTCTCTGCATGTATGATGTACAAAAGAATATTACAGCCTGTCTTCTCTCTTCTTATTTCTTGTTACCATGAGCATGTAATTTTCTTGGGTAATCTTCTCAAAACCCTCCCAGAAGCAGAGTCCAGCATGTTTCACCAAGGTTACCTGCAGCTAAAAGTGCTTCCTACAAGTATTTTAGACCCTGAAGCAGATGGAGTCAGTTGAAGGAGGGAGAGGAAAGGCTACCACTGATGGAGAACACCTGAATTCCTCTGTTTCAGTCCCATGTTGGCCCCACATTGCAGGACTGTTGGGAAGTGGATTATACCTAATGACAAGGTTACCCTACAGTAAGACAACTGATCAATGGGTGCTGTGCAGCAGTAAAATAAAGGTTACACTGCCTTAGTGGCTGTGAAAGATTAGAGCCTAATTAGCCACTCATTACAGTGCTGCGTCTTGGTCATGAACCATGGTCCCAGCCACTCATGCAAAGAAGATCAAAGCTGCAGTCAGGCTGGTACAAAAATGATAATGAAAGTATCTGCTCATTTTTTAATGATTATTGAGGCCATTACAGAGAAGCACAAGGTTAAAATAATGCATTTTTTTCCAGGCTGATAAAAAAAGGGAGAGAGACATTGGCTCCAGTGCATCGTGGGGCTCACGCAGCTGGGCTCACAGCCTCATTCATAGAGCTCGGGAAGAGCTGGAAAAAAATAATGGAACAAATCAGTTATTTATAAAGGGCACAGCAGCCTTTTGCCTACTCTTTTCACTGGAAAGGAGTAAGCAGAGCCTTCAATCTCCCCTCGCCATTCCATCCTCCTCGCGAATTGCTCTGTATCGAGTGCTGTACTGTTTGTGTAGTTTCTTACCAATTTCACTACAAGGGAAAACATAGAAGTGCATCTGAGCCACAAAATCATATCAGCTCTGCCCTGAAGCCATGCCACGGTGGGAAGTGTGTTACTGACATCCTAAAGCCATCCCCTAGAATTTCCTTTCCTAGGATTTTGTTAGAGCAAGGGTAAACTGTTTGTTTTATGACTTGTAATCCAGCTCCCTACACCAGGTGTGTGTTTTGTCTGATGCTCCATGGAAAGAGCTGGGCTTTAAATAAGAAATAGTTTTAGTAGAACATACTTCTTGACTGAAATCAATTTGAAAATTTCCTTTTAAAAACCTACGCCTCCAGTACTTGCAGAAAAGGGGAAAAAAACAACCTACAAACCTTCCAGAAAACCTAAAATAAAGCAATTATTGGCACAGACTCATATGACTAGAACATCCTGTTGCATCCTGTGCAAACTCAAGCCCTCAAAGCCAGCGCCTACTGAAAGCTGGTAACACCATACTTGATCAAAAATCTAAACCACCTTTGACTTTTTGATTCAAAAAATCAATTTTTGATTGAAAATTAGATATTTTGATTGAAAAAATAAATATTTTGATTGCAAAGAAGACCATGAGCACAGTGTGCTACCTGTTTGAAGAAGAAACTTACTGGGCACCTTAACAAACTGTCTACGCTAATCTTGAACTAAGCAACAGATTCTCCTTCAGCTGTGCTATTTTGCTGAAATTTAGCTAAAGTGATAATGGCAATGACGATTCTCACTAAACAGCTTATCAGTGGTAAGGAAGAGTTTTATAATGATAACTCACATATTTTCTGTTTCATTTATCATAATCACAGTTTTCACGCTGCTTTTTAACTGATCATATCCATCGTTATTAGGAAATGTCAACTTCAGGGTATTTTTTTGCCAATGACTTTTATAGGTGGTTGATAAATGTGCTAACTGATATTTCCCACTGAGCATTTCTCAGAAGAAGAGCAGATAGTGGAACCAAGATACAAATAATGCATGAAAGAAAAGCAGTAAACCTTAAATCTAATTTAGGGCCACTTTGCCGCTAAGGCACTCATTTCCACTGTATGAAAGAAGAGTTTATCACAGAGGACACTGGGAAGATGCACTCCTTGATCTTTCTTCTCGCATTCGTTGGGCGTCTTAGCTTGCCAACCTGCCCCTGTGATTGCAGTCACACACTCAGCCCCATACAGCAACCTGTAGGGCGTTTCCAGGAGGAAATCTCAGCTCGCAGCACTGATGTTCACACTTGTGTTTTGCCAACCCTGTTCCTAAACAGCAAAGGGAGATGCTACAAGAACATTCGGGGCATCCCTAAGGACGTATCACATGCGTCCTGGTAGCCTTGGCACAGGCCACACCAAGCTCCAGTCCTAAGATGCTCAGGTGCACAGAGAGGCATCGGCAGGGACATGCACCGTCTTACTTAGGCAGATGTCTACCAAAGAAAGAGTGATCATATCTACAGTATGATGTAACTGCACTGTTGAAAGCCATCAACAACATGGAGAATATTATTGCCTTTCTCCTGGTTTGGCAGGTTGTGGAAATGATGATACTGAAAAGTAAGTATTGACAGGGCAGTAATTTAGACACTGAGAAAAATCTAGAAGAATACCTAAAGAACTATTATGAAAATACTCCTCGATAACTCATGTTACTTTGCCTATAGACGAGCCATCATATCTTCACAAAACAATACAGAAATTCCAGGTAACAAAAATCTGTTTTCCTCCTCAACTTGCAGCAATGTTTGTGAAAAGGCAGTTTTGCAGTGGTGTACTTGTATCTATGTAGGTAGTATGCAGTAGAAGATAAGGTGAAATGAGAGAGAAATGAGACTCTCTGTCTCACAGAATCACAGAATGGTTTGGGTTGGAAGGGACCTTAAAGCTCGTCCAGTTCTAACTGGAATGTGGGATGTGAATCCTGCCTATAGTTTCCATATCATGTTTGACTAATATAGGTGTAACAGATATATCATCAATTCACAGTGCTTCATAACTACTATGTTGTAGTGTCTTTTGACCCCATGTAACTGCATTAAAGACGTTTCTACACTACTTCAGCAAAGGTTTCTGTAAAAACCTGAGGTCTCAGGAGCTGGAGGAAAAATGTTTGATACTGAATGTATCAGATGGCTCATGTGTGGTTTACCAATTGATTTGGGAAAGGACGTAGGTGTTAGGGAGTGTTCATCAAACTTATTTCACTAAAATATTCCTCCAGGTAAGTGTGAAGGCCGCTAAGGCAAGGCCACAATAGAATTAAAAACACTTTGTTTGAAGTAGTAACCCAGACTAAAACATCAATATAAAGTCCTAACTGAGTAACACAGCAGAAATGACATACCTGTTCGTCAGCGGCCCTATAAAGGGATTAGTGATTAGCTGCACTGTTGCTTTTGAAGCAAACAAGAGACCAACTTGCACATTTTCATTCAGCAGGTCCTTATCTTCCTTTGGGCAATCAGATGGGGAAGGAGTCACATTTACTATCATTTGTTCTGTCTGAGTAGGATGCAGCTCTCTGGGTTGTGTCTTATCAGATTCATTTCCAATGACCATCGTTGAGTTGTCATAGTAGGAGAAGATGCTCTGAAAATTGTCCGTCGTTGTTGAGACTACACTAGGTTTAGTAGTCTGGATTTCTGAGGCATTTTTCTCATGTTTGATGCTGTAAAGGTAACTGGGAATTATTGGCACTGGAAAAACAAATAGAATACATTGGCATCTTATTATCAGGTTATTTGTAAAGGGAATCACCAGCTTTTCTTGTTTGCTTTGCCATTTATTAGGAAACACAAGGCTTTCCTACAGAGCACATTAGTAAGGATTATGAATGGTGGAAACACAGAACTGAAACAGAAGTTTGCTCATGGGAAAAAACACATCTGTAACTCTGAAGTGCAGTTTAAAATAAGTTCTTTGATATGAATCTTTATTTTTTGTCAGTTTTCATAAACATAAGATTTTCTGTACAGGCATCATTCAAGAAGCAAAGTGTAACAAGAATCAAAACCTGCTTGAAGAGTCTCTTTGTTGCACATGACTGCACAAATCCATTTAATAGCTTGTAAAAGCAGGAAAGATGAGAAAAGCATTGAAACTGTTATTAAACCAAAATAGAAAAAAGTGTAAGAAGCCACATTTCTAAAATAAACCACAAACATATTGATAAATAACAGCCATAAGAAGGAAAAAATGTAACACTCTTATATTAATTAATCACATTTAGTGTGCAGATATTTGCATATCTCATTATATATAAAAGTCTGCATTGAAAAGATCGTCCAGAAGGGACCTTCTCTATACGCTTTAGGAACTTAGCTGCAATTTAATTGCATTCATACGTATCTCAGGAATTAGCATTTTAGAATTTGTAAAAACAGATGTCAGGTTCATTCGGTTTAACGTTAATGACAGAATCTACCCTCCTTGTCTTATAACTTCCTGGAAAAGTCTCTTTCAGTAGGTCTGCAAACTGTAATTTCTAGTAATAATTACCCTAGTAATTTGTAGGGCTTGTAGCATGCACACTACTGAGTGAGTAAACCACAGAACCATAGCATCATAGAATAGTTAGGGTTGGAAAGGACCTTAAGATCATCCAGTTCCAACCCCCCTTGCCATAGCCAGGGAGACCTCGCACCAATGTTAATAACTTTAGAAGAAAGTATATTCATATAGGAAAAAATCCAAAATCGACTTGCTACAAATATGTATGTTTTTAGCCAAGGTCTGTTTATGGCATCAGCTTTTCAGCTGAAGTCCCTCAAGAAATCCAGGAGTCTGGTTCAGAAGCTGACAGTGCAGCATCGTCTGAGAGCTGGCTCTGCACAGCCCCATCCGCTTCTGAGAGACACATGTGCATCCATGTGTGCATGTGTGCATCCATGAACCACTAGTTTCTCTGAGCCCTTTTCCTTAAATTCACATAAACACTGGAATATGAGGACATCTAAAATAACAACAGTGAAGAATATTCAAGCACTTTATTTGGCTAGATTATTGATGCCATGACACCGAAACCAGTAAAAGTTGCATTTCAAACTTTGACCAAAACTAGGAGTATTCTATTAAACTAACTCACAGAAGTGCTTTGCTTAAACCCCAGCTCGATAGTTTTCTTATTAACCTCTCATTTAAAGACCAAAGTTGGGGGGGAAGAGAAACTATCTCAAGGAAGCAGGCATCTCCAGTGTTATCTAGCCTGTTGTTTCAGTTGCATGACCACAGGAGAAAAAACGATGATGTGCTAAAAATACTGCTATCTGTTGTTCCCTGAAGTATTAGTGGCATTTAGTAGGAAGAAAAAGAATTACAAAGACCTTTTGTACAGCATTCATTATTCTGCAATTAATAGGGAAATAAAGCCAGACTTTGGTGTGTGACAGTGTTTGCAATACACAGAATGTAATTCGTGCTTTAAAAAAAACCAATCAGTGCTTGGAAATGTTTGGTTTGGGAGCATTAATCATGCATGCGGGGTATACATCTGTCACCGGAGATTATTTCTGGCATAATCCGAAGGGGAGAAAAATAAAAGCAAACAACCCAAACCCTTCCTACCTACCGACTACCGTAAGCAGCATGTTGTCCAGCAGCAGGGCGATGAACACGATGAGCAGGATGAGTTTCCTGGACTGCCGGCTCTCCCGGAGCCACCGGAGGAGGCTGAGCTCGCCCCAAGCCATGGTGCAGCAGCTCCGGCTGCCTGCAGACAAAGGCCTTCAGGGTCCGGGGGGACCGTGGAAGGGGGACCCCGCCGGCAGCTCCGCGGTGCGGGTGGCTCGGGGGAGCAGGAGCCCCGCTCCGCACCGCGCCCGGCGCAGGTCCCCGTCCAGCCGAACGCTGCGAGCAGGGCAGGAGCGGGGAGGAAGAGGAGGAGGAGGAGGAAAAGGAGGAGGCGGCACCTCTGATCCCTGTGTGAGCCCGGGGAGCGCTGGAAGCGGTGCAGGGGGGGTCTCTCCTGCTCTGCCCTCCCCTCCTCGGCAGCGATGCTGCGGGGCAAGCAGCGGGCTGTGGCTGGGGGCCACTGACAGAGGGGGAAAGTCCTTCCTCAGACGCTTAAACACGCGAGCAGTGTGCCCTGCTGGCGAGCCGAAGTGAAATAGTGCCACTGAGGGATGCTTTTCCGAGAATAAGGCATTTGCACCGTTTGGCACTTAAATCGCTCATCTTTCTTGCCTGCGCCGAAGTCCTAGTGTTGTACCCAGCCTCTGACACTGTTCTCATCATCATGAGTTTCTTTTCTTCTCAATCCAGGTTAGAAAAGAGATTAACTGTGTTGACCTGCTCAAAAAGCACCTTTTAACTGAGATTTGCATTTTATTAAAACGTTTTCTTTCATATCACATAAAACACCACTTGCTTTTAGTCACCTGGGACTGAACTTTGTGAACTGTTCTTTACTTCACTGTCTCCACTGGGCTTCACTTTTGGTAAAGCCCACTAGATGGGAGGGAAGTCTCTTAATGACTTTAATCGTCCCAGAACCAAACATCAGGGTGAAGCTGAAGCACATCATATGTTTCTTTAACTACATTCCCTGCTGTGTATGTTAACCAGTTTATAATCACAGCATCACAGAATCGTGGAGTGGTTTGGGTTGGAAGGGGCTTTAAAGCTCATCCAGTTCCAACCCCCTGCCATGGGCAGGGATACCTTCCACTAGAGCAGGTTGCTCCAAGCCCCTTGATTCTTGAATGAAGACTTATAAATGGCTTGTCTTTCCCAGACATTTCTGATGAGGGACGTGATTGTAGAAGCAACTTTCTTCTCTCTCTATTATGTATGCGACAAGGGAACCTTCCCCTTCTCCTTACCTCCCCTTTCATTATTTTCTTATAGAATGTTTCCCTTCATCCATCTATCACTGCAGAACTGATGTTCACTGGCAGCATCAGGCCACTTTGCTGGACTTCACATCACTCTTTTCTGCTGTCCTGGTTTCTCTTGCCTTCATCCAATTGATTGTTTGATAGATAATCCTGAAATATATATGCAAACCATGCCTGCACTCTTAGGACAGATAAGCATGAAAGTATTTGAATACCTTTATTTACATGTAAAGATGCTTACTTGTGCACAGATGCCATTGCTTTACTAATCCAGCTGATGAAATTGTGGTTACCTCTAGGAAGTGAGCAGGTTAGGAACCTGTGAGGTGTGCTGCTCTGTGGATGTAAACTGTTCAGGCAGATACTGATTCCTTCACTTATATTTATTTAATTAGTAATGCTTATGTCACTGCAGAACAAGCAGAAAAGGAATAGGACCCCATCCAAATCAGCAATTACCGCAGGGAAACTGTCAAGGATTTGGTTTTCCTATGGAACTTCTTACTCTGATATGATTTTTTAAACAAGATTGGTCAAAAAGGAGGGAAGAAAAGCCACGGGAGGTTTTTTTCCAGGTGTTATTTGAGCTTTTAACAGAACAGTAGAGCAAAATTTCATGCTTTGGAAAATGCTGGTCAGCTCCACCTCTTTTGTTAAGTCTCTGCCTTTTGCTTTAACTATCCTTTAAAGTATGCACTTTAAAGTAGGCCCTTAAAGTATCCTTCAAAGTGCTTACAATACCCAGAGTTAATAATATTATCATTTTATAAATTCTTAATAAGAAGTAATTATAAACTCTGAAATGAGTTCCAGAAACATATAGTAATTTAGGAATCAAAATTCTGAGGACTTATAAATCCTCCCGAGTGAAGCACCCCTAACACCATTAGGGCATGAGCCTAAAGGCACGGATTATCGTAAAGTTAGTGATGAATAAAGATGTTTTAATGTGGTATCTGACTCTTAGGCTTTGGCAGACTGAATGGAAGCATCCCCTGAATCACCTCTGTGGTGCCACAGAGCCTGTGTAGCCAAGTGAGTTATGCAGATAAATAAAATAGCCATAAACCCACAGGCAGTGATACTGCAGATGATGGCCGGTCTGGAACAGATGTTGGAGAATAGTACTTAATAGCAGTCCAAATTCTGACCTCAGCTGAAATTCCTCTGTGGCAGGATGTCCTGAATGCTGTCCTGGGAAGCGGCACAATGTCATTACAAGCACCAGGGAGAAGTGACATTTGGTGGTTTGCCTACAGGTTCCTTAAATGATGGTATTCAGAAAAAAATCACTTCTGGTTCTCACCATCCAGGCTGAAAAATGCACTACCTTGCTGGCGTCTTTGGGGAAAATAATCCCCTTTAAAGCTGTCTCTCTTTAAGATTTACATTCATTTTTAGTGCTTGGAGTTTAATTTGCAGTAATTCATAATTACCTTAGCTTTCTGTATGAATTAATCACTTGCAGTCATTGCTGTTGGGGAAAATTCCAGCTATAAATAATTCTTATGATTTAAGTTAGAAGCCACACCTGGCAGCTTATGTTTTACTCATAACAAGGAATATACTTAGTCAGCTTTTTGAACCTTTGTAGCTCTTTCAAGACCTTTTTTCCTTCGTGCCCCACAGTTATGCTACTAATTACTCTGTAGTAAGACTGTGCGGTAGTTAGTTCCACTGAATAATGCATCTCCTCTTCTCCAGGCGTTGAGGATATGCATTGCATTTGAATCTTCTGCCGTACAACCTAGAGTAAATGTGGATGTGAACGTGTGTGTGCCCATGTCTATGTGTGTCTGTGTCTATATGTCTATGTCTGTGTCTGTGTGTCTGTGGCTGTGTCTGTGTCTGTGTGTCTGTGTCTGTGTCTATATGTCTGTGTCTGTATCTATGTCTATGTCTGTATCTGTCTATGTCTATGCGTCTGTGTCTGTGTGTCTGTCTGTGTCTGTATCTATGTCTGTGTCTGTATCTATGTCTATGTCTATGTCTATGTCTATGTCTATGTCTATGTCTATGTCTGTATCTATGTCCATGTCTGTGTCTGTGTCTCTGTCTGTGTCTATGTCTATGTCTGTCTGTATCTACGTCTATGTCTATGTCTATGTCTATGTCTATGTCTATGTCTATGTCTGTATCTATGTCGGTGTCTATGTCTATGTCTATGTCTATGTCTATGTCTATGTCTGTGTCTATGTCTATGTCTATGTCTATGTCTATGTCTGTGTCTGTGTCTATGTCTATGTCTATGTCTATGTCTATGTCTATGTCTGTATCTATGTCTATGTCTGTGTCTGTGTCTATGCCTATGTCTGTGCCTGTGTTTCTGTGTGTCTGTGTCTGTGTCTGTGTCTATGTCTATGTCTGTCTGTATCTATGTCTGTGTCTGTGTCTATGTCTATGTCTATGTCTATGTCTGTCTGTATCTATGTCTATGTCTATGTCTATGTCTATGTCTGTATCTATGTCTATGTCTGTGTCTGTGTCTATGTCTATGTCTATGTCTATGTCTATGTTTATGTCTGTATCTATGTCTATGTGTCTGTATCTATGTCTATGTCTATGTCTATGTCTATGTCTATGTTTATGTCTGTATCTATGTCTATGTCTATGTCTGTGTCTATGTCTATGTCTATGTCTATGTCTATGTCTATGTCTATGTTTATGTCTGTATCTATGTCTATGTCTGTGTCTGTGTCTATGTCTATATCTGTGTCTGTCTCTGTCTGTGTCTGTGTCTATGTCTATGTCTGATTGGTCATTTTGGCCTGCAATGGTCAGAGGAGAGAGAGAAAAAAGCAGAAACTTTGCTTTTAAGAGGGTCAGTTATCAATCTCTAATGCTAAACATTCATCAGCTGAAATGTCTGTGTGTGTGATGACCAGGTCTGAGACTACAAGGGGTTCATTTTTAAAGTTAGGCAGGCTCAGCGTTGAGAAAGGATGTGGGGGAGAAGAAGAGATATTACAAAGTAATAAAAAGAGGTAAAACATCACTGGCTCCTGTTTACACAGAAACAGCAATCTTAATGTATACAAAGGCTGTAGTGGAAGGGGAGTAGGAGAGATGAAGAGAAATAGGTGATGCTTTGTTGTGAATGTTCATGGGAAGTGATAGATGTCTCGAGACATATAGATCTGTCATAGAGAAAGTCCTGCACTACAGTACATTACAGCATAGGCTATCTCCATGCAGTAAATAACTTAACCTGTTAAAAAGTAAAGTGTTTCAAGTTAGGGCACTTATAAACGGATGTTCACACATAGTCTTGACACAAGGAGCAGAAGCAGCCTGAGGTGCAGTCCCTTCAGGTTTTCTCTGCACCATTCACATGGCAAAACAAAACCAATCAAAAGCTGATATGGTTGGGAAACAGTATTATAAAAGTTCAATGAGGGTTTGAAACTTTCCAAGTGTTTCAGAACTAGGAAATTTCATCCTACAGCACAACATTCCTCCTCTAAAAGTCACTTTTAAAACTATTCTGCTATTCACATCAGAAAAAACATTCAGCTATTCTGGAGTTGGGGAAGTGGTCAAGTAGAAAATCACAGCTTACCCTGCTCCCTGTGCAAGCTCCTGAAGAAAACACATAGCCTGTAATGCTTAAGCTAGAACATAGAATCATAGAATAGTTAGGGTTGGAAAGGACCTTAAGATCATCCAGTTCCAACCCCCCTGCCATGGGCAGGGACACCTCACACTAAACCATGTCACCCAAGGCCTACGTCCAACCTGGTCTTGAACACTGCCAGGGATGGAGCATTCACAACCTCCCTGGGCAACCCATTCCAGTGCCTCACCACCCTAACAGGAAAGAATTTCCTCCTTATATCTAATCTAACATTATAACATTAAAACAATATTTAGCTATACATGGGAAAATATTCACCTACATATGGGTACGGTGGCTAAAGTAATGGCAGAATAAATGCCAGTAATGCTTGATCCTCTCAATGGTTTCCTGGTATGCCTGCAGGTGCATATCCTCGCCTGTTAGACTTGCTTGAAATTTGGCCTAAAGAAACCTTAAACTGATGAAGGAGCAGTCAGATATCAGCGCTGGTCCTGATGTCTCATCTCATCTTCCAGTGCTATGCTACTATTGCCTGTCTGCAACAGAAGGGCAGTCTCCTTCAGTTCCACACACACATTATCGTTCCTCTGCTGCCTTTTTGCACCCAGAATATGTTTCCTTGAGAGTGAACATTAGCAAGAGCTGCATGATGCTGAGGATTTAATGTGACTG